TGAACAGACTATTATACTTCCAGTTCCATGATTTGAATAACTTCTCAGGCGTAGTCATCACACAGACCAATTGAACAGGTTATCTTTTGAATTTGTAAAATGGTAGTTTAAGGGTTTGTCGAAATTTACGCCACAAACAATCCTCCGGCGATTGTCTGTTGCACTATTCATTCAACAAATTCTCTTTTAAAATGATACAGAACAATTAATCCATTCTGCAGCAAACTTCAAAGATTGGTTTCATCCTCTTCTCTCCCCTCCTCCTGCTCGTCGTCATTATTATAATCAACAACAACGTTAACATCAGCTACAACAGTACATTAACGGTTCGCTTCGATGCGTGCTCGTCATATCAACATACAAGAATTTTTTTATTCTTCCTTATATAAACACGTATGCACTTGATCGATCTTGACATAGACTATCATCGCTTTCACGTCCATCAGATAGTCAATGCATTCATTTATAAACCCACTTGATGCGATTGTACGTCGATAAAACTAAATCACATGAGAAGGTCTCACTCATGTTTCCTCGCTGTCAGAGGTTTCACCTGATCCATATATGCAGATTTCTGGATGTGTAGATCTGCCTTGTTACGTTATTTCTTCCGTAAGTCTTCTTGACCAACTTTATTACCACAGTTTTCTTTTGGTGACAGTGTAGTAACTGACTTTTCTCAGTTCACAAGAGTCAGCGCATGAGTTACCTTATGGATGTATTACCACGTTGAACGCGAGGATTTTCTGTAATCTTTTTGTATAAATTTGACCTTCAGCTCTTCTCATCTAAAGAGCGGTGTTTGTGTGTATCCTATTTCCCGAAATGCCTGCTCAGTACAAATAGGTCATACTAATCCTCTCCTTCTTTAGTTGCCTAGCGGATACTCGTTGCTGATGACTCACTTTTGTGCATGTTGTCTACAGTATTATCTGCTTTTCCCATGGCTCTCGACGTTTTAGTCGTAACGACGCTATCTTTGAAACTTGAAATCAGCAATGTTTCGGAAATCCCATGGCACACCATGTTGAGCACCAGATACTTCTGCGTTAACCACATCGGCTGTCAAGTCTACGATCACAGGTGACGAAGCGATTCTGTATTCTTCTTCTCTGGAAATGATCGGGCGAGCTGAGCACTATTCACAAGAGGTTGCGCTTGAGCGTTTGGATATGACTGATCAGTCATGCCCACTGTGAGATTACGGGCATTGTGGTTAACACGTTATACTCACACGAACGAGGACCGGAATGCAAATTCCGGTCCGGACGAGCATACACACTTCGGACGAGTACTAAATAAGAGCAAACCTCAGGTCTAGTGCTTCCTTACGAAATGGACTGGTCGAAAGGTTTATCTGAATGCAAAGGCTGAAATCAAGTGTCAGTGGGGTTTAATTCGAACTAATCTAAATACCTGAACTTGTGTTAAAAATCTACGACTACTGATTTGATTCTGGAATACTTACAGTGCCTTGTCTCTGTTCAGCATAATTCCTGACGTACATGATGTACATCACTGTCGTGAGCAATGAGGTGAACACCTGAGTTTGCTCACTTACCGTCTACACTATACACAACTCCAGTCATCTAAGGAGAAACGACGCCGGTTAACAACTTTATTGTTGTTTTGTGAAGAAGAAAATGGAAGACTATAATCAGAAGATTGAACCAAATCATCAAACCATCTAAGTCTAAATTCATGCATCAAACAGAATGGTGTCTACACTTTGAAGACAGTCAATCGAGTTGTGAATTTAAGTAAGACTTCCTTAGCAAGACGGCTTTCATTACACCACGCTATTAATTGAACAGACAATTTAGGCTCACAACAGCAACATTCACGCTATTAAATCCGATGAGAAAGTGTATCCTCAATCGTCTCCGGTCACCTAATCTATGAGTTGCAAAGGGCCCGAGTTCATGGGATGACCCGACATGCATATGGCGTCTTTTGTTCAGAAAATGCTTAGATACCGATGCCACTTGCATAAAACAGAAAAACAGTCAACCTTCTACATAGTAAACCTCGCCGTTAAAATTCTACGTTAGATCACTTACAACTAAAGGTTGATGTTCTTCTATAAGTAATACGTAGCAAACTGTCTTTCAATTTTGAAGTTAAAATCTTCTCACCATCAGAGTGCCATCTTCTGTAAAACCTTATCATTAACATCTTCATTTACAACAGTACATCACAGCTGTCGCTAGAAGAGTGCAGCACAAGTGTTGACTGTACACATTTTCAATCGCGTCATATTGCTCTATGATTAGGTTATAACAGAATTCTGTCAAACACTGCGGCAGTGCGCAATATTAGCTAGCCATGTTATTGTATAATCGTACAAACGCAATTGACCTTGAACAAAGTAGTCCGCTCAATGAAAGTGAGAAATCGGGCATAATTGAAAGTGTGACTGACACGCGTTTACTCTGTTAGTCTGTGCCCAATCTCTAAAATTGACTAAACGAGTCTCAAAGTTCTAGCGCACACAGACAAGCTGACCACGGACTTAAGATGTGTGACGCTATGAACGTGAACAGTAGTGAGAATAATACCATAACTGAAACCTCACAGTTTATTCTTGATTATTCTTGCACAACCAATTGTGAGAAATACGTAATTGTAGTCATCTTTACAAGCCGGTGACTTCTGACGAAAAAGCCAGTCATTTAGAAGAAAAGACCCCTTCCAGACAGAGTAATTTCCCAAAGTCAATTTTCCAAAGGTATTTTGCGATCAGCGTGAGTCACAGGTTCTAGCTACATTTCTTCCATAGTTCTGCTCATATTCTCATCTAATATACACATGTTAAATGAAATGCAACTATTCACTACAACTAGACTGACTTTTATCCGCTAAACTGAAAGCTGTTTTAAAGGGACAAGTTTTTTGAAAAGATTGTTCATAGAACCAACATTAGCTGCATTTTCTGTTGAGTGGTATTAGTAATTCGTGAATGTTTAAACAATTTCACTAGTAATCTAAATAATACTATTGGCTTTTGAAATCAAGTCGTGCATGAAGTACACATGATATACTCGGGTCTACTGCTTCTTTTCGAAGGGGGCCGACTGGAAAGTCTGTGGGAATGTGACAGCTGCGATCAACTATGGGTGATGTTCAATTTGTATGATAAAATAATTCTTTGAAAACGTATATTTTGCACAAAAAATCTCAGGAAATAAGTGGAATTAAACCTCAACATCATACTGAAGTGTCAAACAGGAAGTGTGGATATGAAAGAGTTTTGGTTGAAGAAGATTGGCATTCATTAATGGCGTATAACGACTATACAAACAAAACACTAAAAACAATTTTTATGTAGGCGCATTCCTGGAATGCAACAAACCGAAAACTCCTTTTCAATTTTGTAACTAGCATGAGAGGCAATTATATATGATGTAATTATATATATATATATATATATATATATATACAACAAACCTAGCGGATTGACGAGATCCAGTTTTGTTATGGGATTTAAATGAAAGTGAATCAATCGGGGCCGTTAGTGTAACGATCCATCTCTGAGCGTTGAGTTACGCATAGCTCGAAAACGGATCCTCAAATTGAAAACAAGATTGGACCCAAATATTTATATGGCACTATTAGAAAAAATGCATCAATAACTACAACAGACAAACCTCAATCGTTCACGACGATAGTCTCGTCCAAGAAAATCAATGGTTTCTCAACGGACCAGCAAGGTCAAAGTTGAGCCGTCACACCAGTAGGCCAGGACAAGAATGGCTAATCGCGCCGCAAACGTTTAATGGCACATTAGCTCAATAAAGCAAAACGGGGTGGGTAAGGTGGTGAGAACAAGTGTCAGGTTAGTGGGAAACAATATGGAATGCAAACGGTGGAAACAAATTTTCTCAATTCAGGCACCAACAAATTTAGAGCGCTCGCAAAAACTTGTCTGCATCTGACAGCCCGCTGCTAATGCTGCACAGTTCTGACTCCTCACTTACATATACTTCATAAAATTACCCACACGACATACATTGGAGACCTCGCGAACCGCAATGTCTAACAGTCATGCCCCTCTAACAAACAAAGTCGTCTCACATCCCTCTTCAGTAGATCTGTCCTCGTACGAGCTTCGACAGAACAGACTAGTTCGTCAACGCCTACTTCACATTTCTTAACTCGGCCCAGAGGCCACTGGTCTCTAGTCTGTCCATCGGATACAACAAGAACAACGTCAAACACCTGAAAATTATGTTGCCTCGTCAACCACCTTTGGTGGGCTTGCAGCGATGATACATACTCTCCGGACCATCTTCTCCAAAGGGCACTGAATCTTTGTTTTACATTGTCGATAGGTTTTCGATAATGAGTAGTGACTGGGTATAATTCTATTGGACTGTTTCCAACACTGTAAACTCTTTCAAAAGGTTTCCTGCCAGTACGAGGATTGATCGGTTTCGTCATGTTCGACGATTCACAAGCCTTCTGAACGGTTTCGTCATTGTGACGGGAGAGAGATAGCATATATGATTTTCAGTTTCTCAAGTCTTCCTTGCTATCCATCCTGCCACAAAACACAGCTTGCAGAACACTATGTACTATTCACATGTGTTCAGCTTCCCTACCAACAGCTGTGTCGTCATTGCCGAGAAGACACTGTGTGGCATCACATCAACCTATTCACACCTATGTACAATATGGCATTAGAAGTTGTGTAGTAGTTGTTGTTGCACGCGATATAAAGACTAACACTGATTTTCCCACAGTCAGGTTTAAGCCATAGCAGCGGTTAACTCCGGAGCCACTGGTGACATGCTTACAGTTTGTATGGGAACAGACAGCTTTATTTGATTCTTGACAGGATGGTGTCGTCTGTCAGAACGTATGATCAAAGTTGCCCGTCAACTGGAAGGTGGATTGTGGATGGCCAATGAAATTCCAACCTTTCTTCGGGAATATCACCAGACAATGACTGACACCAATAGGGGACTCAAACACCCGTTCCATGGTGACTGAGGCGGAGCTGAAGATGCCGGGGTTGTTTGAACCAGGGACCTTTCACATGCAAAGCGAACGCCCTACCATTGAGCAACATCCCCGACCGCAATACGGGAACATACTGAGTGTACCGCAAACTTCAATCCATAAAGCTCGGAACACAGTACGACTTCGTCGCGGTTATGCGGCGACAACCTATGTGTACGGAGCTCATTCATCTCTAGTGTGTAACTGATGTTACATATTGGTACAACTATCAGTGTGTAACTGTGTCGCTTCGGTTTATATCAAATACACTGGTTATACGATGTCTGCTGAACATTAAAACAGTTTTGTTCCCGTCTAGCAACCTGATGTACTTACCAGGATGATAAATTACCGAAGTTGAGTTTGTGCGTTACACCGACATTTTGTAAATTACAATGTCACTCTAGGTGTGGCGTCGGTGAGTTTCATTGAAAACAGACGGTAGAATCTTGTAGAGTCCGTTACGCCGTTACGGCATATTCCTTTATTAAAGAGAAAACTGACAGTCACTATCCCACATGGTTTTGTTTTAGTTAAATGTCTGAATTCAATAAGAAATAAACCACATGAACACTGTTATTATCACCGACCTATATGTCAGCCAGGCTTTAAGTCAGACAATAATAACATGTCCGCATACTACTTATGAGTAGAGTTTTGGTTAAATCCACCTATAATTGCGGAAACCGACGTCATCATCATCATCATAACAGCCATGAGCCTGACCAAAGGTACTGTGGGTCGGGCCGCCGCTCACCTCAACAATGATGTGGAATATCCTGGAAGAAAACGTCACTAAGAAGGTTGAAAATTATTAAAAGAAGACTAAGCGGAATAACTGGAAATGGTATGGATAAAGGTAGGCCATTGACTGCGACACATCGCCATCTCGGATAGCGTCTCTAACCAGTGGTTTGGGTGATCACGAGGACCCCATCAAGGCAGACGACGCCTACCCACCGACGAGATCGATTGAAGTTGCCAGATGACAGAGACGTTTACACATTCCCTAGATTGACTTCAAAATAAAAACTGAAACTAGACAATAAGATGATATATGAGTTTGTTTTTCGATTCTATGCGTCCCTATCGCTTTGGTTTGCCGTGTTCTGTTTAACAAGATAAGATAGGTAATTCACATTAAGACAGATGCTCAACGTCGCCCTCTGTCTGGAAAAAAAACACGCCGATCGTCAAAAAATTTGACCATTGAACAAGAAAACGATTCGCTACTTTCATACTTAAAGAAACGGCTGTATTCTCCTTGCACACTGTACTAGAAGGGATTTTCTCAAAATTGCCCGTTGGGGTTTGCTGAGAGGAAGAATAAGTGTATTTAACCCTTTGACAATTTAGTCGATCCCCTGGATCATTTGGTGGATTCCATATGAGACAGTGGGACGGGTGGGTAACCGAGTCCAAATGTGAAATTTCCGAGCTCCTGGCGTGGCTTCGTAGCTCAGCTTGTAGAGCGCTTGCCGCGTAGAGGCATGGTGTTTCTGTCGCTGGTTCGAATCCAGCCGAAGCCCTCACTTTTCACAGTTGGGTCTCATCTAAATTCATAAATCTGCCAAACCACTTATAAGTAATTAAAATAAGGTATATCTGAGTAAGCGACACTGATGGTAACGCTTGAAGTATGCCAACTTCAGCACAACTGACATTTAAAGAAATTTTCCTAGTTCACATACATCATTCAATATTCACTCTTCTTAGAGCTCATCAGCAGATCATATCCATGTCTGGATAGGAATCTGAACTATGACCCTCGTGTTTGTGAGATGAGCGTGTTGACCATAATGCCAGTAATCACATGACCGAGCAGTCAGACCCAAATGCTTAATCACAACCTCGTGTGAATAGTGCTCAATCTGTGCGATCATTTCGGAAGTAGAATAAACAATATTGCCCTTGTTCGTTTCGATCGATAATCATGTGATTGGAGCCTTTCAACCAGATTGGAGCAACTGGTTTTATTGAATCAACTGTAACACACTGGATGAGCATCTATTCTGTCAACGAGCACGCCATTATGGGCGCAGAAGAAATATCGAAATGTTGTCTGTAGTATAACACTAAATAAAAAATACACACCAAGTTGATGGTACTTTCCAGCTACACACTCCATTAAAAAAAATTTGTACAACTAGGTAATTGTACCAAAAAAAATAATATCCTGGTGTCAGTACGAACCAAACGGTTTGGTTACAATTTACACATCGTTCACAACTCAGTCAGCTGAACAGACAAAAACTGGTGTATAAGTTTCATGCGACCGGGATTGGTGATGAGTATAAACGGACCTAGCAGACAACAACGCCATACCAGTCAGAACACATGGAACGACTGGTTGATTGGATGAAATGCCGCTAGTCTAAACTATCACGGTGACACTGACCGCAAACAAATAATGAGCCAATGAAAATGCTCATGACAGATTAGCTATAAATACGAGTATGTGCTTAACTTCTTGTAAGGCGTAGTTCGCTCGAATTCCAATGTTTCATCTGATTCCCGTGAGAGATCCACATGAAATTAACAACGTACTGGTCAACCGTTCAACCAGGTGAGAGCATGTAACACAGAGGAAAAGTTGGAGATGTATAATTTCGCGTAACAGCGTGAATAGGCACATAAGTAAACAAGATCAATGGAGGCCTAAGGGGACTGTCACACAACAGTATGCTCTCGATTCCGAGGTGGCTGATTAATGATGTCTCTCAATGAGTTTTATGGATGTAGTCAGTTAGTGTTGAATGAGGAACAGGTCGAAAATGAAATGGGGAAGAAGAATGTGTGAGGGAAAGTCTATAAAAAGGGGTGAATGTTGAAACGCCAAATGGGATAGCAGGACGGATAAAGTCACGGACGAGAATCAACCAAATAGAACGTTCGAACTGGCATTTTTCTATGGCTTTTCCTGTTCATGGCTCGAGTTTGGTGTGCAATATTGGATTGAAGAAGACGAGAAGGCACACTTGGTTCTAATCGACAGCTCTGAATTAGTTTAGTTACCATGAACAGCTTGTATAAAAATACATACATACACATGAATACACATGGGATCATACGATCAAATCGCACATCTCCGTGCACGACTGCTCAACCATCAAGATCTTCTTCATCAAAATTGAACACTTCTTCCACATTAGCACGTCTTTCTCCGGCCGGGTTCTCAGCACCGGTATGTGGTTGTGAGTGTGGGTGAACACTGACGATGACTGAGTCTGCATGCAAGCGGCTCCTGTGCCGAGGTGTTGATGTACCTACAGACAGACGATCGCGAGCAGTATTAGACAACTGCGATTGTGACTGGATAATTCTGGTCCCGTCTGGATAGAGACCGCAACGCGCCGGGAGGATACCCGCGTATGTTTCAGTCCTTCGCCTTCTCATAAGAGGTGCGCGGGTATCGGGGCGAGTGCCTAACAGAGGTGAATTTGGACTGGTATTGGATAAGGACCGACTGGCCAATTGGAACAGCCGATGTACACAATCCAGAGGAGAGGTAACCAGGTTAACGAGGCTGGATGAGAAAGTCCACAGTGAACTGCCTGTGCGGGTTTGTCTGTGTAGGTTGTTGGATAAGCCGTCCATAGTCGTCTGCATAAGTGGGGTGGGATGCACAATAATGAGGACAATAATAATGATACTAATCCCCAGTCGAAAGTTGAAACTGAACAGTTCATTGAGACATCCAACAGCCCGTTGGCAAAAGTTACACAGACGATGGTTTCTAAAAAAACTCAGGTGACAGGACGGAAGCGCCAACCTGAAGAAATCAGTCGTAATTCGGACTAGTAGCAGTTGGTTAATTAATGTGCACACAATCTTGACGTTTCATTGGTTGTTATGTCTGGAACCCCCGCCTCATTTGTTTTTAAATAAGCATGAAGCGTGTTGTACACTAGCCCGTCTTGTAATATTTTTGGTTTACACCGGTCCATGTAGCGTTTGTTTTATGATGGCAACCGGGTGGTCTAAAGATCAATCGCAAGTACTCAGAAGCTATAACAGCACGCTAGTTTGCAGGTCAATCACAAATGGTCGGTCAATTTCAGCCTATGACAGAGGAGAGTACAGCAACTAAGGCAAGCAATTCATCCAGTTCTGATGACCCCAGCGACTGCGATCCTGAGATCAAATAGACAAGTGTCTCGACTATCATTAAGACGTACGCTAGCTTGTAACGGCATACGGGGTGCGGATGAGATTAAACCAGGTTGGGATAACCGTCCAACTCCTGACCAAGTTTCATCAAAACCAACCACTTGCAGAAAGATGTGTTTCGTTGCCTATACGCCACCTGCGGACTTCATGAATTCCATTAAACAGTTACAGGTTTTGATATTAAATAACCCATCTTACAAAACTGGTCATCGAATGCATCATCATATGACTCCAGATCAGACAACAGAAGTATGTTTGGAACAAAGTTTTATAGGAATAATCCCGTAACTTATCAAGGTCGTTTGATGTTTGGGTTTGAGGCTTACGAAAATTCAACAAGTGCCCGTTATTCATTGATTCACATGCACACACAAAACTTAACATCGCCAAGCCACCTGAACTAAACGTGGACATTCGCATCAGATGGGGGTCGCATACACACGATGGTACATTTGACCATCAGTGAAACATTACTAAATTAACCAGAGGATATTCACAAAGTGTGTTTGGTATCATCGGTGTATCCGAAACATCAGCATACTAGCAATGACGGGCAGTAATGAAGTATCAGCCGTACCAGTAGACTCAAGTGACCATCAGAGATAACTAGCTTGATCAATATGGGCACGTCTCACGTATGCCTACCGATCGCCTGCTATGTTATGTTCTGTTTTCGTACGCTAAGATAGACTGCAAACAATAATCTAAGTTCGGAGAACAGTAACTAGGGATTAAAAGCTTGCTACAATGTAGAATGATTCCGGTTTCCTGTCTGTGTCCAGAAGGACAACAAGTGCCTCAGGTCGGTGATGTCACCGGACATAGCCAAGACTTGTGGTTAACAGCATCCGTGTTGTAAACCACTGCGTTCTTCCAGATGATCTTTTCATTCTCTTCAGAGCTA